ACTCCACCACGCGCGTCAGTGTCGCGACACAGTAAGGTCATGGCGGCCGGGGAATCAAAGTCAGCTGGCAGTCGGGGATTCCGTGCTGGGTGAGCAGGTTCCGCGAATGTTCCGTGAAGTAACATGAACCTGAATTATGGAAGCTTGACAATGTCCCTCGCGGTGCCGCGCACCACCTGGCAGTAAGTCACCAAAGAGCAACGTGATCAAACTGTTCTATGGCTGCTGCTCGAGCCTAGTAGTGTGTGATTGATCGATCCTCATCAGTGTAGAAATTGCCTGGGTAATTACTTACGTAAGGTAAGGTAGGTACTTATGTGGAAGGTTGGAGATGGACCGAGACAGTCATTCTACACTAACTCGGAAGCTCTACAACAAGTTGACTATCATTTCCATTGGTAACATTACAAGACCTCCCGCCCTTGTCAATTATAGCCCGTACCTTGAACCTGGCCAGAGAATTGACACTAAAATCGTGTTTATTTCTCTGCAGCCAAGCCCCTAGGTTATTGTGAGAACTCAGGGACAACGGGAGATCTGTAGGCCAAGTCCTGGCCAACCATCACAGCCTGAGTATGAAAAGGTTTTGGAGGAGCGCCTCGAGAAATTAGAGGTCAACGCCGGGATCGTTGGATGGCAATGACCAAGCCAGTTGTGTTGACTAGTGATTCACCCATAGTACCTAGCCGGGGATAACAATGGCATTGACAAAGCAAGTTCAAAGGCCCCGAGAGCGAGGGTGCTTTGACCGTACGTCTCACAAAGGTGACATTAAGATTATGCACCAAACACTGGACTTTCCGTTGAAGCAAGCTAAAAAACGTTCCGACGGAACAATATTGCTGGGCAGGGTAACTAGACTGACAGTTTCAAGGCCTGTTTTGAAGCGAGTCAAAGGGATATAAATCAACCTTGCATCTTTTCTTACCTGGGTACCGTTGAGTTCCTCTCCCTTCTCTCGTCAACTCGCAATCCCAACTTAACTTCACCGGCATCCTACCTACAACACACCACAAAGCCACCAGCCCACAAGGCCATCAATACCGGCAAAATGAGCGAATTCGTCAACGTCCAGAACAACATCACCGACGAGGAGGGAAATGTCCTCTCGCAGGGCAAGATATTCACCATTCCTCGAGAAGCAGCCGAGCACAGCGGGGTATTCCGCCAGCTTTTCGAGGACTTTGCCAGCTTGGAAAAGGACGTGGATTTCTCGAAGGAGGTGATCCCATTCTGCCGCGAGGATGTCACCGACAACAGCGTGAGCAAGGTGATCGAATGGCTGACCAAGTACAAGGACCTACGCAAGCCGAATGACGAGGAGTCCGGAAACAGGGACGGATCCCGAATCACGTTGACCGACTGGGAGAAGGAGTACTTCCACAACTTGTCGGAAAAAGAGCTGTTCGACTTCTTGGTGCTAACCCACTACCTCGAGATGGACCTGCCTAAGCAGCGCGGCTGCCAGTATGTCGCTAGCTTGATTAGCGGCAAACCGGCGCCGGTGATCCGGGAGATTTTCGGCATTGTGAATGACTTCAGCCCCGAGGATCAGACAAGAATTGAGAAGGAGAACGCGTGGGCATCTGGGAAGGAGAGAGCGTGAAAGGAAAACACAACGTCGTAATCTGGTGCCTCCGGAGCCCAGCCTTTCTGTGCTAGTAACACGATAAGGCGGCTACTGGTAGGGTACCTTATTACGTACCTATGTATGTCGTAATTCCGCCAACACTGAGCAAAAGGACATCCTTGCCCTGCAAGGCTAAGGAGCTCACTTTGTCCTGCGATTAAATCTAAATCCCAAGTTTTTGATAATAACGGAAATGCACCTTGACCCTTTGCCAGTAAGTAATAATTAATGACGATGAATAATTCTCAGTGACCGAAACCAGACCAGCTTTCTACCCAACTCTCGGCCAATACTGGTAGCGTTGTGATGGCATCTGCCGCCTTGAGCAACAAATGTAACTCTGTGTGAGCGGGCAACGGGCAGCGGGCAGCGGGCAGCGGGCTTGCCGAATGGTGTTTCATCTCCCAACATCGCGGGCGGATCTCAGCCGACTTGGCCGCAAACCGGCAGTTTGAAGAGTTGAAACAACCGGAGAGGTGGGCTGCGAGCTGCGAGCTGCGAGCTGCAAGTCACGGACGGTTGCGAGGGCTGCGTGACCTCTCTCCTCCATCACGGCCCCCGCCGAGAAATCAAAAAGGCAACGGCAGACTTGCGGCGAGCAACGGTCCTTGGCCGAGAAAGGGCAAAGGCCGACTGCAGTCGGGTTACCCGCCCAGCGGCTGGCGGCTGTGTCGGTACGCGGCGCAGCGGCACCTGAACGGTGAACACGTTTGAGGCGACGCGCGGAGGAGAAACCAGAAACAAAAAATAACCGCGCCGCCGAACCAACGCCGGGGCCAAAGAGCGGGGGGCGCGTGTGGTTGGTGCCAATGGTGTGGTGCGGGCCTGCAACAGCAGTAAATGCAGTCATTAATGGTGTGCGTGGAATCTGCGGTGACGGTGACCCCGAGCGAGGACCGACGTGCCATTTTGTAGCCCCCAACTGCCCGCAAGCCCCAGCGCCAACATGGAAGTCGTTCCTTCCCTTTCTTGTGTGACTCGATCGCGTCACGGCGGATCGACGCGGCCCCACTGACTTCGTACCGCTGCGCTCACTGGGTGACTTCCATTTTATCTTTCTAAGCTGCAGCCTAAGAGCTGAAAAAAGGTGCGCCGCATCTCGGCATTCCCCAGAATCGGGAGGGGGGTTGAAACAGAGCAAAATCTGAAGAGTAGTATTCAGGTTTGTTTCCATCTGAAATTTTATGTCTCCGTACCGTTTTCAGGGTTTTCTCACCTCCAGCCTCCAGGCAGTCACTCAACTTGCTTTTTTACCCACGGTGCACGGCTAATCAACTGCCAACACGATTGTGACATGCATGCGTAAAGTGACTGTTGGTTCTGGCCTGTTGAGCCCGTTGGTTCAGCCCTCGCCTGTTGGTTACTTGGTGGTCAGGGCGCGTCACATTGGTCGGGCTGTCTGTCTCACCCCCCATTTAAGACCTCTGTGCCGCCGGAAACATGACATCTTCAGATGCTGTGCCGGAGGACCTTGCATTGCCCCCAAGCGCGGCTCAATCATCCCACCTGACGCCACCTCATCGTATCTTTCCGGCCTCGTCCACAGGCCTTTAATAAGAGTTCCGCTCAGCCCCGGGGTCCCGTGTGCAACTTGCTTCCTTCTGGACCCTGCCCGAGACGGCGAGACCACTCACCCACCCCGAACCGCCCGAGCCATGTCAAGAAACACCACAAGATTACGCGCGCGGCTCGTCGTGTTTGCCGGTGTGAGTTTGTTGCTTCTCGGTGCCCAAGCCCAGGCAACCTGCTACAACACATGGAGGGAGGAGGACACAAACCAGCAGCCATGCTCGGTACCAGGAGCCGACGCCGGCGCAGGGACATGGTGCTGCAACCGGGGCGACACCTGCCTCTCCAACGGCCTGTGTCTGAGTCCCGACTCAAGCAACCTCATGACCCAGCAAGGATGCACCGACAAAGCCTGGGGCGGTTCCTGCACCAAGTTCTGCCCAGCCAGCACTGGTAAGCCCCCCTCCCCTACCTAGATACACGTACCAACCAACCACCAAACACACAACTAACCCCCATCACAGACCGCCCCTCCCTCCCCGCCATCCCCCTCATCCCCTGCCCCTCCACCCTCGACTCCACCACCAACACCCTCCAACACTGCTGCGGCAACACCAACATCACCGACTGCTGCTCTACCCACTCATCCTCCCGCCTCACCCTCTCCCCAGGCACCATCCTCTCCCAATCCCAATCCCAGAACAACAACGACTCCACCAGCTACTCCCTCAAAATCGGCCTCGGCATCGGTCTCGGCATCGGCATCCCCATCCTGCTCGTCCTCCTCGCCGTCGCCTACCTGCTCGCACAGCCCGTCCATTCCCGACGGCAGAAGCGGCGGCGCGAGCAACAACACCGGCGAGGCGGGGGAGGAGGCAGCGGCAGTGGTGGCGGAGGTGGTGATGGGAAGAGGCGTGGCAAGCCCGGGGGCACGCTGACGGAGAAGACGTCGGATACGTCGCATACTTATCCGCCGCCGCGGTCGTTTGGGAGGGTGGATACGCGGACGGATGGGCGGGCGTCGAGTGAGTTGGGGGAGGGGGAGGTGGTGGGGATGGGGATGGGGATGGGTGCGGTGAGAGGTGGGGGAGCGGGGGCGCATGCGTGGCCGCCGATGCCGATACATGGGTTAGGTGGCAGTGGTGGTGGTGGTGATGGGGGGCCGGTGTCGGCGAGTAGTGTGGCGACGGCGATTGCGCAGTGGGCGCGCTCGCCGTTTGGGTTTGGGGGGATGGAACCGCCGCCGCCAAGTCCGAAGGAGATGGATGCGAGTAGTGGGAGGAGGGGTTGGAGGGGGACGACGAGTCGGTTGGGCGCGGCGGAGCTGCCGTCGCCGGATCCGAATATGGGTTCGTCTAGGGGACGGGAAAGTGGTGTTAGGGGGTGGAAGGAGGGCCGCCATGTGCATGTCGCTGCAGAGGTCGAGTTGCCGTCGCCGGATACACCCGAGAGGGATGTCGAGAGGGGGTTGGGCGGGAGGATCTGAACTTGGCCTCGACGTGTTCTTTTTTACAGCTTTCACAGCATATCTACTATTACGATACCACGAACATGTTAGCCGTATCAAATTCTAGCATTATCGGCAGCAAGCCTTAGTCAAGCCCGTGATTTAGTTTCCCGCAAAGGTGAGCCCCGAGTCTGTCCTGGTAAAGTAGACCGTCAAGTCCAATGTGATGAGCCGCCGCCGATCAGTTCGTCCGGGAGTTAGGGGTAGGACAGCTCGTCGTGAGGGTTCCTCAAGCACTCAAAAGCAGGTACCCCAATGTGGCACGCGGCAAAAACACACATCACCCTTCTTCATGCTCCGAGGATCAAAATGGAAAAAGATAAGTGAAGACCGGAGCGCCGATGACGGGAATTGAGCCCGACGTGGGGGTCGAACCCACAACCTTGAGATCGCCTTTCTGGCCCTTGGTGGGGAAGTAAGAGTCTCACGCTCTACCGATTGAGCTAGCCGGGCGCTGGGTCTGTTGTTGTTGGGGTTCGTGGTCGGGATGGTAAATTTTGTGGGTAGATCCTGGTCGCACTCGATGAGGTTTTTTTTCTGCCTTTTTTCTTGAATCCACAAGTGGGTCCAGGGGCAACGCCCTCTACCATCCCCAGCATGAATGGCGCCCGTGACCTTTGAAAAGTGTTGATGGGTAACTAGGAAATTGGAATTTATATTCGAGTGCTTTTGACTATTTTGGCCCGTGTGCTATGTACCAAAACGTGAGTGGGGGTTTGATGCTGCCATTGAGGTCTGGTGGGATTCGATCTTTGTTTACTTCCCCCTGACGCCTACAGTAGGTCAAGACAACCAAGTACAGAAGTAAAGTCAACTAAAATCTCTCTTCAAAATAATAACTTCAAAGCCCGATAAAGGATATATTTGGAAGTCTTTATGCTTGCAAGTCTTGGTGCCCGCCCACATCACACTACCTCTTCCCCATTCAAACGCTTGCATCCTAATTCGTGACAGTTCTTTCTGGGCACTGGAGAACGGAAGCCAATAGTATATAGGCCTCCATTCGTCGGAAGGTCACCCTAGCCAATAATTCGACCGATACACCATCATCAACCTTGTGATTGGGGGGGCCGTCGGGACCTTCACTGGTGGTGCCGCTACCCCTGGTGGGAACCCCTGGAACATCGCCGTTGGCTGACCATATGAGCTAGGTACAGTACAATGGTGGCGGGCTAGCCATGGACACCTGGCCAGCCATCCGCCGGTACGCTGGCTGCGCTGGGCGGAAAAGGGCCTAGGTTGGGCGTAGGCGCTCCAAAGGGAGACATCCCTTTGCCTCATTGCCAACCACCACAGCCAGCGATTCGGTCGACGGTCCCGAGTTGTCGCTGGCGCTCATCCCCGGTTTCCCCATTTCTAGTGTGATGGCCGTGGACTTAGTCGTTTGCATGCAACTCGTCATCGTACAGAGATTCCACCGGGCGTCCCCAAATGCAACGGGCCCCTTTCCCATCCAAGAATTGGGATACCGCCAGCCGGTGGCACGATGCTGAGGCATACTTCTCGAAGGAACCTTTTCCTTTTACCTTGGACAGGGTCCGACCGAGGCCTCTTGCCGTTCAGCATCCTTGGCCATTCGACGGACCCAACCACCTTGAGGTTGCTTAGCCGGAATCGCTACATCTTCGTACCCATGGCGGCTTGATAACCGTCCTCGATGGCCGGCCTAAGTTCTATGAGGCCTGTCTGCGACCCCCGTACCCCCAAGAAGATCGCCGCAGCCTAAGGAATGCTCTTGGTGTATTCGCTTCTCTCGTTAGTCTATACAATCGACTGATAAAACAGGTGGCCGCTACGCCTCCCCTCGAAGAGACACGGCCAGTGACGGACGCTGCAGTGGCACAAAGATTTCGGGATGCCAGGTGGTAAGTGCTTGATAGAAGGGGGGGAAATCATTTCGATAGGCTTCACCGTTCCTTCCAGATTATGACTTAACAAGTTGAGACGAATAAAGGGGTTTTGTGAAAAAACGCGTTACTGCGGGTCTGGCAGAGAAGAAGAAGGAACGCGTGAAGTAGACGCGCCAATATGGCTAGGAACCCTTCACAGATTTATGATAAACTGTTTAATCTAGTAGTGCCTTGGTTTGAGCCAACTGCCCTATATCCTCTCACGATTGTCTCCTGCCCGCACAAAACTTGTGCTGTTACCAGCCATCGACCAGTAAGTATAGCATCAAAGAAGTACTAGTCGATGGTCGCTGACCCCTTCAACTACAGGTCATCACACCTCCCAAGTCAAGACTATCACAGGCACACTATCACAGGCGCAAGCACAAGAACAAGAACAACAACAAGAGCAACAACAGCCCTCGCAACAATGGCCGACAACCCAATGGACCAAGACTACACCATCCCCACCGCCCTGCCCGCCACCGCCTACCTCTTCGACCCCGACTCGGACCTCACCGAGAACCTCCACTGGTACGGCCCGGGCAAACTCCACCCCACCCACCTCGGCGACACCTTCGCGCAGGGCCGGTACGCCATCATCCACAAGCTCGACCACAGCCCGCACACCCTCTCCTGGCTGGCGCGCGACCTCAACACCAACACGTGGCGGCGGCTGGACACGGTGCACGCGGCGACCGCGCTGGCCCGGCCGCGGTTCCGCGCCGCCGCCGCCGACGCCCTCGGGCTGGCCCTCGCCATCTGCGGCCACGAGGGCCCCAACGGTAGCCACGTGTGCATCGTCTGGCCGCTGGATAGCCGGAAGCACGCTTTTCGGGCGGGCGTGCCGTGGGGCGGGGATGAGATCCCCATGAATGCGGATTGGTTCATGAACGAGTGTGCGAAGCTGAGGGGGGGTGTCCCCCCGCTGTGTCTGCATGATATTGGCGAGCAGGAGATGCTGGCGATTCTGGGCCGGCCGCGGCTGATCATGGCGGATGCGGAGATGCGGCGGCGGGCGCTCGTCTCCCAGGATCTGGAGTGGGACCAGGTGCCGTGCTACCTTGTGCTTCGGCCGGACCGGATTGTCGACTCGGGGTCTTCGACGGAGGCGGAGGTGGGGAGCGACTCGGAGGGATGGTCCGAGAGGATTGGGCAGGCTCTTGGCTTGGAGTGAGGTACTGTACCGCATGTACCTACGCCGGTCTGTCAAGAAGGGTTTGGGTGTCGGGATGGCTTGAACATGGAATTCAGCTCCTTTAGGTTCCTTGGTGGGGAGGGCGTTGTACAGAGTAACAAATTTGATACCATGGGCTATCACATAAGGGAGTCAACAGAGTGGTTGTCTTGCGATTTCGCAATCACGAACCTGGCAAGAAGCCATAACACCGACCAGTGACACCTCAGTGAAGGCGGCCACCCCTAAGGCGCGAAAGACAATGTATACACAGTAGACAAATCTGTACGTGACTAATAAACCGTAATTTCCATGCCCCAAAATCCAATTCAACCATCGGCGTCCCTCACAAAACTCTAACAGGGGTATTCGCTATTTTCCCCAAGCACTGCTCTCAAATCCAGCCATGCATTCTAAGCAAACTTGCTCCCGCCTTTAAAAAACAAAATACCTCCCACTCCCACACCCTTGCCAAACGCAACTAAACCGCCGCCGCCTTGCCCCTCCGTTTCGGCGCCGGTGTCCCATTCCCGCTCATCCCCAACTTCGTAACCCTCGTCCGCCGCGTGGCCATCCCCGATTTCGTGGTCGCAGCCGCAGGTGTCGGCTCAACCGCCGGCTGGGCAGGAGCCGCAGTTGCAGCCGTGCGCTTGGGCAAGGACCGCGCCCTGGTTCGCAAGCTCGGGGCAGCGGTGGGCTTCTCGGCGGCGGGTTTCTCAACGGCAGGCTTTTCGGCAGCGGGCTTTTCAGCGGCTGCCGCCTTCTCCCCGCTCGACTTCTCCGAACCACGCATCTTCTTGACCGGCGTTGGCGGCGGCAACCTAGACGACCTCGTGCGCCTGGTGGACACGGGCGCCGCGGGAGCAGCAGCAGCCGCCGCCGGAGGGGCCGCAGGCGCGTTGCCACCTTTCCGCGCCGCCACGCGCGCCGTCTTCTCAACGACAGGCTCGGCCGGCATCGGCGGTTCGGCCTCGGCAATCTCATCCACCCCATCATCATCCATCACATCCGCCAGCAACTCCCTAGCCATGCCACGAAACACGCTCGGCTCCTCCGTCTGGAACCTAACCAGCTCCTCCGCCCACCTGACCGCCTTCGCCGCACCACCCTTCTTCCTCTTCCCATCCCCACCCGCCTCCTCCAACCCCCCCTCACCCTCCCCCTCAGCACCCCTCCCCGCCCTCCTCTCCTTCGCCTCCCAAACCCCCTTCAACTCCCTCATTCGCCAACCAGCCGGATCCTCCGCCTGGCGCGCGAGCAGGGCCGGCGGGGGCAGGGCGGCGCCCTTGTTCTTGCGGGTATTGGCGCGGGTGGCGGCCGCCAGCCCTTTCTCTTCGCTGCGCTGCCGCGCCATCGACGCCAGGTGGGCGTCCATGGCTGCCTCGTCCATGGCGCCCATCCCGGGCAGCCGCACGGGGATCATGGAGAAGGCGATCGAGTTGGCGGAGGGTGCGGAGGGGCGCAGCGCGACCCGTGTGCTGCGGGCGCGCGTGGAGCGGCGGGGGCCGCTGTCGCCGGCATCGTGTTCGCTGTTGCTGCCGCTGCCGTTGCCGGTGGTGGAGCTGGGTTCTGGGGAGGGGGTTGTGGTGGTGGTTTCGGAAGAGGATTTGGAGAGGACGGGGTCGACGGCGCGCGTGCGTCGCCGCTTGAGGCGGGGCGGTTCGCTGGGCTGGTCGGATGGGCCCTCTGCTGGGCCGTCCTTTGCCAAGTCGTCGCCATCGAAAGATTCGGCTTTGCGCTTTTTGGAGAGGCTGGGGCTGTTGGGGCTCTTCACACCCAACGGCGTCCTGCTGGCGGGGGACTCTGGTGCTGGTTTAACCATCGGGGAACCGGTGGAGGTGGTAGACCCGATGGAGCTAGACCGACGGGCGATCTTCTTCACGAGCGCGGCCGCTGCTGCTGCCGCCTTGGCGTTCTTATCTGCTGTCACCCGTGTCACAAAGTTCCGCAGCATCTCCGTCTCCGAGTCGTCATGCCTGGCATGCAGCTGTAGCGTGTCGTATTCTGGTCTGGGTGCTTGGACCGTCAGGTCCTCGTCCAGGTCCATGGCCATAGCGGCATCATCGCCGTCGTCTACTGGGAGTTCCTCCTCTAGTACTTCATCAGCGTCGAGCTCATCCGATTCCTGGTCAGCATCCGGCTCATCATCGTCCCGGAGACGTGAGGGCGGGGCATTCGTAGGCGATGGCTGGCGGCCGTTGATGGGAGTGAACCCAGAGCTCTCCTCTTGGGTGGCAGCTCTGGCCGCATTGTTCTCCGGTGTTGAAACCTGTTCCATGGACCTTGCCGCGGTGGTGCTGTTCGGGGTCCCCGGTATCAGGGCCGTGGAGCCTTCCGCGCGAGAGGGAGAACTCGAGACTTGGGCCATGTCTGAATCCGGCTTTGGC